ATGATAATAATAGCATAACAGCAATGATAACAATGAGTTATAATGATGATGATGATGATGATGATGATAAAGATAATAATAATAATAATAATAGGGAAACGACAAAAGCAGTGATAATGATGATAATGATGATGATGACAATGATAATACTACTACTAACAATAACGACGATAATAATATTAGTAATGATAATGACATCAAAATAAAGATTATGATAATGCTATTAAAATAATGATGGTAATAGTGATAACAATAGCATTCATAAAGAAATGAATTATAATACTGATGATGAACAAAAGAAAAAAGAATAGAAAAATCCCTTACTTTAATCTTGTTTTTGCATTTCTTCTTCTGGCGGTCATTGTCGGTGTAGACAACAACAGATTCCCCGTATCCCAGAACAATTTTCCCCTCACATATTTCTTGAATTTCTGAGGACAATAACAATGACAGAAATGATCAAACTGGTCCCCTCCCCATCCTCAAAAAGTTAAGACATTCTGTTTTATTTATGCATCCATTTTCCCTCATAGAATTGTAAAGAACGAGATTGGTGTGATAATGGTGGTGTTGACAATGGAAATAATAAAGGTATTGCTAATAATGAAGATAATAATAATGATATCATTTTAATAATGATATCAGCATAAATGATTATAATAGTAATGATAATGATTATGATGATAATCATGAAACAAAAATATGCATTTCATGTTGTAATTATAAAGACAAATTTAAATATAGAAATAACGAGGCCAGTGATGCCATTAATTTTGAAGTATAGCTAAAGCTGAATCACTGCATCTATTACGCAATTGTTACGTGATTCAAATGACACAGACGAAGAAATTAAGAAACTGACTCACCAATATTCCCCGTGTTTCTTGTAATGTTTTTGGATGCACTTTGTGGTCGGTTGTCACCATTTCCGTCCTTCGTAAATTTAGTTCCCTTCACACTTAACTTCGCTTTATTGTCTGCCTTGTTGGTCTGCTCTTTCGCCGTGTTTCGTTTATCGGGTTTGACCTCCCTCTCGCGCCTGTCAAGAGCTGTGTCCTCTGCTGTCAAGTCTGTAATGTCTTGGTCGTGTCTCCCATTTTGGTTAGCCTGTGCAAACGGAATAGGTGGCTTTTTCGTTATGTTTTTTTTTTTTTTTGAACTCTCTTTGTGTATTTGACATTTTCTTTTCCTTTCCTTCCCCCCCCCCCCCCTTCTCACCTTTTGATAAGCTCCCACTGCAAGAGCTACAAGCAGCAGCAAGAAAAACAGCCGCATTTTCGAGTCTGAAAAAGATGGTTTTCAGATTAAAGGCATATATCTATGTATCAAAATCTTTATCTACCCGTCAACACATTTGTTGTTTGTGTATACATACATATATATATATATATATATATATATATATATATATATATATATATATATATATATGCACATACAGATATATATACGTTTTCAATAGGTTATCTATCCTTTTTTTGAAAGTTGACAATAGCCATGTGACCATGATAGAGACTTTATATGGGATTTAGTAAAGTAGAATATCGGTCTTACCAGAAAACATACCACAGATTTGTGTCATTTGCTATCGAAAAAGATGAATATCTGACGAATGGATGGTCTTAATGTTATATAGATTTTATAATGGTAACCTTCCGTTGACCTCATGTCTTACACCATGAATTCTTTTCATAGTTTAAAGGTATCTGGAGTCGTGTGTGTTTATTAACCTTGCTTAAGATGGCGAATACATATCAAGGCCCATCATTTCCAATTTCACTGACAAAATTGCCGACTATGGCTCCCCGTTCAAGCCTAGCATTATCTTTATTATAGCACTGAATACGCGTCCGATAACGGCCAAAAGGACAGACAACGCATATTGACAGATAATAGTCATTTTCTATGATACTCCAAGAGAGAGAGAGAGAGAGAGAGAGAGAGAGATACAGCTAACAGTAATAACACATACACATGAGCGCTGCATAATTGTTATATATAAACGTATCTATTCCTCCAGAATTCAGACTTCATGACATATACAGAAAGAGATGTATATTTGCTATTGTGAACGGATGTAGTGGCTGTATTACTTAATTTGCATTTTTGTATAATTTGTGATAAGTGAACTATATGTAATACCATTGCTTTCCTCTCCTTTAATATATATGTAAAACTGTAGAGACCCTTTGGTGTCTCCTGAGAGTCCGGGTCCAAGGTTTAAGAATGTCTGTTCAAGTTCACTCATTTTAGAGAATAATGTCCTAATGCTTCTTGACCCAATGAAGAATAAAATTTACGACAGCCACACTGCTAAAATGTCAAGTCTCAAAGTGAACTACAGAATACAAAAGAAGGAAAAGAAATAAGTATATATATATAATATATATATATATATATATATATATATATATATATATATATATATATATATATATATATATATATATATATATATAATATATATATATATATAATATATATATATATATATATATTATATATATAATATATACACACACATATATGTACACACACAAACACACACACACATATATATATGTGTGTGTGTGTGTGGACACAAACACAAACACGGAAACATACACTCACACACACACACACACACACACACATATATATATATATATATATATATATATATATATATATATATATATATATATATATATATATATATATATATATATGGCCTCCGAGGCCTCCCATGAAAACTGGATACCTTAGCCTGGGTACCCCCAGGCTAAACTGTGGGGGATCTCGGAGGAGGCCCCAGGGGTTCATGGTCATGGCCCACCGGCGTGTGGACACGCCCTGGCCCTGTACCAATTCCTGCACCTAAGCTCCCTGGGGTAATGGAGAGGCTTGGGGGAGGTGGGCCCTCCCAGTCCTCCTCCCCCCAGATATAACCAATCGGCAGTGCTTGATATAGATGGAAAGGCTGGGAGGAGGGGAAAAGTCCCTCCCACCCAGCAAGTGAGGCAGACTGTGGGCCCTGCTGGGAGGGCGAATGCTGGAGTGCAGGCTGGGAACGGGAACTACTCGTCTCGCCTGCTCTCTGGCTGCCGCCAGCCAGAGTGAAGCTTGTAGGGGAAAGCCCTAAGGAACCCTACAGGTGGATGATGTGGCATGCAGTCCGCCATCCCCTTGTATATGGGGCAGCATCGGCGGTTGCCTCTACTGTCGAGGGAACTTCGGAGGCTGAGAGTTGAGGTGGCTGCTCTGTCAGAGGTGAGGAGACCTGGCAGCGGCATGACCAGTGTAGGTGGCTACACCTATTACTGGTCGGGCTGCAGCGACACCCACCATTTCCAGGGAATAGCCATTGGCATATCCAGCAGACTCCACCCCTCGGTAGTAGAGGTTACTCCTGTTGTTGAGCGTATAATGGTATTGAGACTGAAGCTATTTTGGCTTCATGTTTCTTATTGCTGTTTATGCTCCTTCCAATGTTTGTAAACTTGATGTGAAAGAGATGTTCTATGCCAAACTTGCATCTGTGGCAGACAGATGTCCCCAGTGAGATATTTGTATTGTTCTGGGTGACCAATGTGTTATCTGGCTGTGATCAAGCTGACTATGAGTTGTGTGTCGGTCCCTATGGTTCAGGAGCTGATGCCGGTAGTGTGAATAGCCTCCTCCGGGACTTTGCTAGGTCCAGAAATTGAGGATTACTGGCTCCTGTTACCAGTGCCCAGACCCAAATCGTTGGACATGGTACAGCGATGCGGGTAATGTAGCCAAGGAGATCGACCACATACTCGTTAGTACTCGTTGGAGGATCCTCCAGAATTGCAGGGTGTACAGGAGTGCTGAGTTCTGTGGTACTGACCATAGATTGGTTGTGGTTACCCTCCGAGTCCACTTCAAAACTCCCCAGTGGCCAAATGATCACCGTAGGGTGTTTCATTTGGACAGGCTGAGGGAGGGGAAGTGTGCCCGCGGGTTTGCTGAGGTAATCTCTGATTGTTTAACAATGCTTGACAGTCTGACGGAACCTGATCTTCTGTGGGATACCTTCAAGCGCGAAACGCTTGATGTAGCTCAAGATACGATTGGTGTACGCCAAGAGCAATACAGAATTTCATCTCGCAGAAGACACTGGAAGCCACACATGCTTGTCGTGCGGCTCGTCTAATAGGGGATCGGGAATTGCACCATTCTCATGTGCGCAGAGCATGGTCTCTGTCAAGAAGGGACAAGGAACAGTTTATTATTTATGGCTTGGGCAGATCGACCAAACCTGTCGTGAAGAACTCGAGATGGGCCGAGTCCCTGCCTGGCGTCTAGCCATGAGGGATCCTCGTAGGTGGAAGCAAAGCGTGGATGCCCCCATCAGCGTCAGCCCCCTTGATGATGATGATGATATATATGCATATATATATATATATATATATATATATATATATATATATATATGTATATATATACACTTATGTATATATATGTATAAATATACACACACATAGATATATATGCACACACACACTATATATATATGTGTGTGTGTGTGCAGAAACACACACACGCACACACATATATATATGAACACACACACAAACACACACATACACACACAGACACACACACAAACACACACATTTATATACTACATACATACATACATATATATACATATATATATATATATATATATATATATATATATATAATATATATATATATATATATATATATATATATATATATATATATAATATATATATATATATATATACATATAACACACACACACACACACACACACACACACACACACACACACACACACACACACCACACATATATTATATATATATATATATATATATATAATATTATATATATATATATTATATATATATATATATATATATATATATATATATATATATATATATATATGAAAGGTAGAATAATGCAATACCGCATTGATATGATAAATATATAACCACTCCGATAGGAATTCCAACCCTCACCGCTGTTGCAGGTAACTTGCAGGATTCTGAACTACTCTTTCTATGCATACCGAATGCTCACGGGGAGTGTGTCTAAAACTTTGCTATCATTGCTCATGTATGAGTAGATAGGTAATGTCTATGGAAGCTATGTAGTTCCTAGTTGCACACTCATTTTAGTGGGTTGTGTATCAATGAATAGAGTGACCGCCTTGCCTCATAAACATTCACGCCACACTTTCTTCTCTTTGTGTATCCCAATGACAATTTGGAGACAACATCATAGTATAGCCTTTCACGCTATATGTTGAAAGTGGTACAAGATTGTTGGTTAATTCCTAAAGCCCCAAGCTATTATATCTCCCCCCCCCCTCTCTCTCTCTCTCTCTCTCTCTCTCTCTCTCTCTCTCTCTCTCTCTCTCTCTCTCTCTCTCTCTCTCTTCTCTCTCATCTATCTCTATCTCTCTCTTTCTCTCTCTTTCTCTCTCTCTTTCTCTCTCTCTTTCTCTCTCTCTTTCTCTCTCTCTCCCTCTCTCCCTCCCTCTCTTTCTTCCCTATCACGCACACCAACCCCACCACATAACCATATGTGTATATATATATATACATATAATATATATATATATATATATGTATATATATATATATATATATGTATGTATGTATGTATGTATATATATATATATATATATATATATATATATATATATATATATATATATATATATATATATTATTAATATATATATATATTATATATATATATATATATATATATATATATATATATATATATATATATATATATATATATATATATATATATATATATATATATATATATATATATATATATATATATATATATATATATATATATATATATATATATATATATATATATATATATATATATATATATATATATATATATATATATATATATATA